GCTGTTGGTGGTGGTGCTGCGCTTGTTGGTTGGTCTCTTATGGTCAGGATTACCCTGTCGAAAGTGGGAAATGGGGGTTCACTCCCCCTTGACCGATGTATTTAGAACAACAATAACTCTCTAATCCTAAAGGCGCACCCTTACGCGTGTGTATGCATGTATGTGTGTGTGTGTGTGTTTGTTAGGGCCAGTTCTCCCTACTTCGTCCCTTCTGTTTCTTTTTATTTTTTCTATTTGTGTGTACGTGTATGTATGTGTGGTAAAGTAAAACGCACGATGAAAAATGTCAAAATCGGGAAAACCACTAAACCATGACAGTTCGATACATTTTAAATGCGCCGGAACGCATTTGCGGGATACGATAAACAGCACGCCGTTGGATATCCCATTGCGTACAACCAATATGTCCTCTTATTTATTCCTAAGATTTATGGAATAAACGAGTAGCAAAAACGTTGCTTTGGTAGTACCCAATCCCCTCCCTTCCCCCACCACTACAACGCTACTTTCTTCTTCCCTCAATAACCATGTATTATTTCCCCTCTTGTTTTTTTTATTAATGCGCTTGCCCGTTTCCAAAAAGAAATCGAATTTGAAGAAAGTAGAATAAAAGAAAATTCCCAACCTCTCACACCCGCCACCACCAAACTACGAGGACGACGACGATGATCGATGATCGATCGAAAAATAGGAAAAAGTAAAAAATGAATGAGTTTTGTTTAAACACAACAACAAGAACAACAAAATAGGGCACACGCGAATTGTACTTTAACGTTGATTTAACCCGAACGAAATTCTGGGGGGACAGGGGGAGTGTGGTGTCGAGTAGATCCTAATAAAAGATCCTAGCAGGCTTATCGAATCTCGAAGTTGCGGTACCGTCGAGTGTTACTCGCCCCGTAGCCATTTCCACCCCTCCGTCACACAACCTTCGACCCATTATCCTAACCTTCCCTTAGGTATTATCTCAGGATATCTTGCAACCATCCTACCAAGTGATCCCGATCGAAAATGTTATTATTAGCTTAAAGGCTTCTGCAATGTTAAAAAGACGAACAAAAAAAAAAAACAGAAAAAAGAAAAGAATCTTTCGCGAAAACGCTAAAAAAAAAGTGCATCTTACCGATCGAAATTTTTTCAACGCAAGAAATAATCCAAAAACGATGGAACGAAGTGAACGAAAATGAGAAAGAAGAGGAGGAGAAAATTTGTACGTGAGAAAAAATCAATAATAAAGTTCGCGAACGGGCCAACAGCAACCTAGTGAAACGATACGAGTGAAAAGAAAAAAAGAAAAAAGAAAACAAAATGGAAGAGAGAGATAGAGAGAGAAGGGTGGGATCAGAGAAGGGAGGGGGGAAAGGTAGGAGGGTTGGTTGAATTCCTTTCTATACTTCATCTGTATGAGATTCTCTTTCACGGAGCACCGATTTAAAACGCCTTTTAAGAGACGATCCTAGGGATCGGAATTGTGCCGAACTGAATCCTCTATCTCTCTCTTTCTTACTCACTCACTCATTCATTCTCCTTCTCTCTCTCTCTCTTTATTTCTTTCTTTCTATAGGTATACTATACTCTGCCCTTCGATCCTGTTCCATTAGTTGCATTCCAACTTACTTTTCCTGCTTTATAAAGTACTCCGATTCATGCGTATGCAATGAATTCGGGATTCGAAATCGCGTCGTTAAACGATCCTATATTAAAATCCTTCGACATGTTGATAAAACCTATACGTAATTATTTGTCCCATAGCCTTTTGTACTTTGTCGTTCATTCTTTTTTTCTTCTTTTTTTTCTCGAACAATAAATGACGTTCTATGTAAAAATAGTGAACACTTCCCAACCCCCCAACCCCATCAGTACCAATCCTTCTTCCATCTCACGATGACGATAAAGATCGTTCTACTGAAATTCGTGTAAGGGGTGAGAGGGAAGGGGGATTGAAACTTAAACAGGAAGAGAGTGGATCAGTCAACATAAACAAATAAAAATAATTCGTCATTATTTCGAAGATAACGAATCAATCTAACGAATGATTCTATGATAAAACTAAATATTGTATTAAAATTTGAAATCACGTGCAATTGAGATTAAACAGAGTTCGGACAATTGTTTCATAAGTCTAATAAAAAAAAAAACACATTGCAGATAATTATTATTTAGAGAGGAATGATTTGAATGGGGTAAACAAAGTGTTTAAAAAAAATCATCTAAAATGTTGTATAAGGCAGATGAAGTTTGAGAAGACGAAAAGATAGGTCCTCGACCTCTTCTTTTCGGATCTCTCTCTCTCTCTTTTTTTTTCTTTTCTTTATTTTTCTCTTTCTCTGAAAGAAAGAAAGAAAGATAGAGAGAGAGAGAGAGTGGACCAAAAGGGGCCTCAGTGAGGCCCACCTTGAACCGCGGCAAATGAAGCAGCGCGCAATCCACAAAAGGCAGAGCCGGCACACACATACTTGAGAAGAGGCCCAGGTAACTCATTCGGGAAACAAAAGCATTCGTTTCGACACATTATAATACAACGACTCTCCTGGTTGCAAGCCTTTGCTTTCCTTTCCTTTCCTTTCCTTTTCTTTTCTTTCCTTTGCTTTGCTTTGATTTGCTTTGCTTTGCTTTAGTTTGGTATACATACAACGAGTGTCACTTAAAATCCTACAAACGTTATAAATGCTAGATACTTTTTTCACTCGAAAAAAAATTATTCTTATATAATTTGATTATTATATAAAATGAAATTAATTTAAATGATAAATATATTTATATCGTGATACACAAATTAATTAGAAAATTATTATCAATGAATTTCATACATGTAAACGATTTATTTATATGAGAAAAGTTAATTTAAATAAACAAAAAAAGTATATAATGTATGGAAAATATATTAATGTTATTGTAAAAACGATATTTTTGATATAACAATTGGTCAAACTTTAATTAAATAAACACCCTCGCTTAGTTGAAAACCTGAATAATCAGCATACCGAAAAATTGGCACATTTTAAGTTTATTTTAATATAATTTCTTTATATATAAATATATAACTTGTAGATTTTTATTAATTTCACTTTTAATCAAAACTAAATAACACACATATGTTTATATCCTATACAAATTATATAAATCATTTACAAAGAAAAATCTAATAAACCTAACGGGGGGGTTTACATAATACAATGTTAAGGAACACTCATTTCGTTGTATATAAATCAATTGTGTATACTTTCAAAGAAATGATTTTGAATTTCCTTTTCACCCTCAACTCCTTCCCACCAACCACCGCAAGCAAGAACCCCCCCCCCTTTTTTCTTTTAACTCTTTGACTGTGCTGCTCTGCAATTTCTTTCTTACGCTTACAAATTTCTTTTCCTTTTACATAATTACCCTCTTCAACGCCGAATATTTACGAACATGCACATCCATTTACACCACCCCTCTTTTCTCATTCTCATACAACGACTACGACGACGACGACGACGACGACGACGACAACTGCGATCAGAGTTTCGCGAGACGACGAGAGACGAGACAAATTATCATTGCAAATGACCGATACTTGGTAATCCCTTTTTTCTTCTTCTTCTTCTTCTTATTTTTCTTCTTTTTCTTCATCTTCTTCTTGGATGATATAGTCGACGCGTCTCACGTTTTATTATTTCAACAACAACCATATGCATATATATATATATATAATAATTAGTCAACTTTTAATTAAATAAATACCCTCACTTAGTTGAAAATCCGAATAATCAGCAAACCGAAAACTCAGCATACCGAAAATATATATATTTGTATTCTTTATACTCTCCCTTTGTTTTACAGATTAAAACAACGTTGTAACATCAATTCTACAACGCCCTCATTCTGTTTCCAACACTTATCAAACATTATTAACAAATAAATATTTTATATTACCAAATAATTCATACATTATGGTTTTACCAAACTTGTTTCTTTCACTAATTCATACAACTATAATCATGCTTAAGTTTACTTTACTTTTAAAAATGATTTAATCGGGAATTAGTATATTCCAATTTAACTAAAAATCTGAGATAAGTTAGGCCCCTTGAACAACCATATTAAAGATTATTTAATTTTCTAAAGATGCAACAGGAGGGATAGATACTTTCAAACTTGTTGAGAATAATAAAACAAAAGTTCAGAAAAAAGGGAGAATAATAAAAGTAGAAGAACGGGTGTGTGTGGGGCGGGGGGAGGGAAACGATCCGATCAGGTCCGAATATCCCGATCGTTATTATTTCTCTAGAAACCTCCTGCGAAAATCATAGAGGCTCGCGCGCAAGCCAACAAAAAGTTAATTGTTGAGAGAGAAAGAGAGAGATAGAGAGAGAGAGAGACGCGTAATAATTACTTCTGAGCCCGGCCCACTTGCGGTTTCACTCGTAACTCTCTCTTTCTCTCTCTCTCTATCTATCTCTCTCTCTGATGTGAGAAAAAGAGAGAGAGAGAGAGAATGCGTATCTCCATTTGAGTATCGCATCTTTTATAAACGTTCCTTCCTTCTTGCCACTGTAGTTTCACGCTTACATCGGTATATCTTGAATTCCATGTAACGGTAATTTACTTACTTACATAAATACATATAAGAAATGAATGTATTATCAACGAATTTTATTCGTATATCGTATTAAATGTATTATTAAAAAAAAAAACAAAAAATTAGGTTTGATAGGATAATAATAATACAAAAAAGTATCACGTGATATAACTATAAGTGAATGATGTTAAAACAATTATTTACACATTGAATACACATGCAATAAAATAAATTAGATAGGGATGTAATTTTAACATGCAAATATCAAATAATACAATCATGATCTTATAGTACCAATTTATAAATAAGGGTTGTAAGGAATCTAATGAAAGATATTAAAAAAAAAACACGTACACTTACCACCCACCCACACACACATATATATACTATATACACATACATGCAACGGGGGGTAAGTTAGGATAGAGTTAAAGCATACCTTTCGAAAGCGTAGTGTCTCTCCTCAAATCTGTAACAACACAAACAAGGTTCGTCACAATGGCTTAACGACAGGGGAGGGTTGGGTGGTATAGTGAGGAGAAGGGAGGGGTCATTGGATTCGCAAGAAGAAAGCAGTTTCGTCGGGCTCGTTTTATAAACTAGTTTTGGCAAGAGAACTCGACGAACGAGGCCGAAGAGATAAAGGTTGAAAAGATGAGGAGGAGTAAGAAGGGTAAGTTGAGAGAAGGGAAAGGAAGGGAATGAAAGGGAAGGGATGGGAAGGGATGGGAAGAGGAGAAAAGGAGGAAAGAATCGTGAAGATTATTTTCAGCCTATAGAAAGAGAGAGAGAGAGAGATGAGTAGTTTGGTGCACATAGGTAGTTATGTCTATAAGCAGACATTATCATCGCCATGGCGTAGGTAGGCGGACAGGTAGAGCTAATTTTCGAACCCCGTATTATAGTTCCCGAATCAACTTCTCCATAGTATAATAAGCAATTTCATGACGTACGCTCGCAATTATATTAAGATTAGATAAGATCAACCACTTAGTTTACAGGTACATTCAAAAGATACCGACACGTTCGATCTTTATAAAATGTAATACTTGATAGATGTAAGTAAGATAATTTAACATCTATAGGTTTGTTAAAATATTATATATATATATATATATATATATATATATATAAAGGACATTGATGATATATTTTTGTATTAGGAGTGCAATGTGGTAGTTAAATGGTTGTAAAAGGTTAATTGATTTAAATCCTATTGGTAATAATTCATTTTTTGTTTTGGTTTATCTTTGTAGATTGTTATTAAAATATATTCTATAGTGAAATTAAAAGGACATTGATGATATATTTCTATATTAAATGCAATGTAGTATATAAACTGTTGTACAAAGATTAATTGATTTAAATCCTATTGGTAATAATTCATTTTTATTTTATCTTTATAGATTGTTATTAAAAAGACACCTATGATTGTTCTGTTTTATTTTTCTGTTGTTGGTATCGATAGATTTCTAATAGAATTAATTTAATCGTTTGATCTGATCAAAATTGGTGTCCTCCCCTGAAGTTGATATTCAATGGAAAGATAGATGATATCTTCTTAATACCCAGTTATAATCTAGTTTCTTTTTTTTTTGGATTAATGCAAATGTGCAATGGATACATAAACACAGATATAAATTATTATACACGATCTTTAATATAATATCCAACAAACTTATAGAAAAATATGATGAAAGTTTGAATAGTCAAGATTATATTATTGGGGTGATTTGATTAAAATTGATCCTTTTATAAGTTCAAATGAAAATGATTATCGATGCGATCAGAAGCATCGAATTTTGGACCTTGGGTTTATTTCTTTATCGCGTACCAACCAACCCAACCCAACCAACCCAACGAATCAAGCAACCAATGAACGAATGTCCGGATTCTACCTCGTATAAATAATACGGGGAGTCATGGGTAGTGGAGAAGTTAGAGTTGGCAGCATATTTAAAGGTAATATTATTTGCTCCTAAACGGGATTTCTTCTTACGTAGCGATCGAGAACTCAGCTTTGCGGGCGTTTTTCCATTGGCAGTCGCGAACCGACCGCGGCTGAGCTTGGAATGCCGACCACCATCACCGGGGATAAAAACCGAATCAAATATCTACCGTTCGGCGAGTCTCTCCACTCGGACTAATGAAAATGCCCGTTGTTACTCTCTCTCTCTCTCTTTCTCTTTCTCTTTTTCTCTTTCTCTCTATCCCTCAGTGGGTTTTGCGTTAAGGGATTTTCAGCGACAGTATCTCGATCACGCGCAGTATTTTACTCTCGGGATTTCGATAATAAAAACAACGTAGCCCTTTCTCTCTCATTTCTATATTCTTTACCATCGAAACCAATGGCGAGTACTTAAACGAGTTACTTTCAAACCTCTCCCTATCAAAATAATTCCTAATACCATTTTCTGAAAGATCCTCAACTACAATTTTATCTACCTAGTTGATCTTTACCTTAAAACAATGTATTTAAGGATCAGAATAGCAGGCAGGTGTCAGATTGATTAGGTCAATCCTAAAGTGATGGGGGAACGATGAGGACATAATCGAGAAACGATTTACATCCTTGCACGAAGAAAATCTAAAACAACCTACGATCTTGAGGGTATTCCTGATGATGATGATGAAAAATAAAAAGAAGAAGCAAACAAGCAAAGCAAAGCAAAGCAAAGCAAAGTATAGCAGAGGATTTGGAATCATTGAAGCGGTTGCTTTTCGATCAACTTTTGTTTGGGATTCGATTCGGAACGGTTCTACTTCTGGATTCGCATTTGAGTTAGACTCACGTTCTCCCGCAGCACGTGACCCAGCTGCTCGAGAGGAATCCCACGTATCCGTGACGTCACTCCATTTCTCTCTCTCTCTCTCTCTCTTTCTGTTTGATTCTCTCGCTACCGTGAACAACCTGCCCGCGGCCGATAGGAATACAAGACTTCTGTCTAGTCACTGACTTATTAGGAATTCCGAGCGAACCCACGTGCAGAAATTCGGCGGTATGGTGCTCTTGGCGAGCCACGTGCGCTCACTGGATGCACGTTCTTCTAATTTGCGAGACGTCTGCGGACTACTTAAAACCTGCTCGACCTGTTTAGTCTCTCTCCACTTGCTTTCGATCGACGTCACTCACCTCAACGTATCCTAAGATCAACCTTAATCCACCTACGATTCAACCCCACCTCATTTCACTCCATCATAGGAAAAAAAAAATATGACAACAAAAGAATTTACCAGCGTCCCGATCAAAACACCTCGATCATTCGACCCATTTCCTTACACCTTTGTTGTTTTTCTCTTTTTCTATTGTTTTTATTCGTTATTTCATTCATATTTATTATTTCAGATTCAATCCGAATTTCTTCCTCACTCGTTGGTACTCAAAGATAAGTGAATATTTACAACGTAATAGCTCGGAGTCATGAGCTATGGGGAATGAAAGGGTCAAGGGGGTGGTGGAGGAAGAGGAAAGGGTGATAACTCATGGTCGAACAAAAAGCAGAGCGAACTCCCGCAACGTTGGTCTTGCATTGGCTAAAAAGGTACCATCAAAATCTCACCTAGCTTATAATAATAATTTCTTTCTGTGTGTACTTATCCAAACGCGTGTACCGTAAGAAGATGTAAAAGAGAGAAAGAGAGAATGCATTAAATCAATCCTCCACCCCACCCCACCCACCCCCTTTAACCCTATCCCGATCAACAATAATAATTCTTAAAGAAAAGTTTCTCGAACTCGCGGAGTGATAATTCAACATGATGGATAACCAAGAATCTGAATAACTCGTATAATCCTTTCTTTATATCATCGGCCTATCGGCTGAGACAAGATTTGCGATCCTCCGGCACCCTGCAGGGTGACTTTTACGTACTTACGACAACCTTTTTTCATACTTTTCTTCAATATCTCTCTTCCTTTTTACTCTTCTTATTCTTATTTAATGTCTTTCCTTTTTTTTTTTTTCTATTTTTGACGTTAGCACGATAATCTAGATATCCTGATATTTCATACGAGAAATTTACTCTCTCTCTCTTTTTTTATTGGTCCTTAAGAAAGAAATGATTTAACCCGTTTTGGTTTTTTGGTTTATAGCTCTCAAGTATCGTTCTATAATAATTTATTACGAATCGTATATGGGTCGGTCAAGATAGATTTTTAGCATAAACGATTACGTATAAAAGGGATTCGCTAAAATACCGAAAAGGTTAAAGTTTATTCCAAGAAGAAATTCTTTTATTATTCAAGTTTTTTTTTTTCTATCTTGTACTAAAATGCATACAAGTAAATAGAAAAATAAAACAACAAAATAATAATAATAATAATAATAATCTCGAATCGTGTGTAGAAATTATTTTTCATTCTCCGAGAGTTATCATAAAATCCCTGCCACTTGTGACTTTTTTTTCTCTCTCTCTCTCTCTCTCTCTCTCTCTCTCTCTCTCGATCTATCCGATTTATATAATATGTCACGGTATAATAAATTTCCTTTTTTTTATCTGCTCTCTTTCTCTTTCTTTTTTATTTTTCTTTTTGCTTGCTCGTATCACTTTGGCAACAACACACACATACATATAACTTTAGTATATAAAAATATACTTGGGTAGGCCCGTACAAGGCGTGACCAGTGTAATTTCGGATAGATCGAATCGATCGGGGATTCGATTCTCGATCAATCGACTTACCGATCGATCTTTTTAAAACAGAGATAAAGAGAGTGGGAGGGGAAATAGAAAACCGTGTCGAAGAAAAGGCGCGTAGCGAAGTGCATGCAGTTACGCTTACAGCGTAGGCGTACAGTTAGAAAATAAGAAAGTGCACGGTACACGGATGATGATGATGATGATGATGATGATGATGATGATGATCGGCTACCATACCATACCATATCTCGACTGATTCGTCACAGACACTGAGAAAGCGTAGAAAAGGATTGTAAACAAGAAAAAAAGTGTAGAAAAAAAGATAAAAGATAGACAGGGAAAGAGAATATTCCCGTTTCTCGATCGTTTTAATCATCTTTAAATTATCTTTCAAGCAAATAAATTTTCTATTTAAAAAATGATCTATTTTTTGAAATAAATTTATCTCCAATTCTTTATTTTAAGTTAACTCGTAACAATATATATAATAATGCGATTAATTATTTTATGCTATTTGAATGATTTGAAATAAATTGATCATGCTTCTCTCCGTTAATTCTTCTAATCGATGAAATTGAAATTCTTTAAATTGAATTAGATTATACATTGAATAGTATCGTTATGATTAGGAATAAGTATCAACACCTTGAACTATCGGAAGTCTTCTTAAGAGGAACTTCACGAGTGACGTTTAAACTCACGAATCCGCGAGATTGAACACACACACACGGACACGCACAATACAAAGGAGAAGGAAGGAACGCATTAATATTAATAGTCCTGCGAGAAGGGTGTTCCCCCTTTGCCATGAGCCTTCAGCACGATCAGCACACGTTGCTAACGGTCAAAGAGACGAGAACGAGAAAAGTAAACGCCGTTCGAGAAGAATCTCAGCACGTTTAAAGGAAACTAAGAAGAATTTTTAATACACATAATACAATATTTTCTTTGATCATTTTCAAATTCATCGTTATGAACAATCACTTATCACTTGTCTAATACAATTTTTATCTATAAACTTAATTTATCTATCTTCTGCATGAATTGTTTTGAATTTAAAAAGACACCCCTTTTTATATGCTTATTAAATACGATTGAAATCAACATAATTACGATACATTTATAATTAAATATATATATTTAAAATGCAGGATGTTTATTTTAAAACATTACTCATTCAAATACCGTGAAAATAATTATGACAATGATCCTGAAGACAATATTTTTCATACGATGTATACTTTGTCTAATTATTATTATTAAATAAGTTAATTTAGATAATTGTTATGATTACAATTGCAAATATATTATTATGTTAGCCTTGGAATGATTATAATGAATTTTGTTTTTTGTTTTTTTTTTGGGGAGAATCGATTAATGCAACTTTTCCATTCATTATCTCCTACAATCCGTTTCTTTAGCATATACAAAAAAAAAAAGAAAAAAGAATGATTCTCGACGGTTGTTGATCATCGTCGTTCTTAACGAGCGTCGTAGTCGCGCGAGACATGTATGTATCTACAAGGCGGCATCTCTTCTCAGCGGGGGAAACAAAGAACTTGACTTATATTCTTCTGACAAGAGGAGGCTAAAAAGTAAAGCGAAAGATACGGAGAGAAAGATACACGGAACAACAGCGCATTCGTGTTCCCAATGGTTTCAAGCATCAAAACTTACTTTTGGGATGTGTAACTCTAGCGAATCATTTTTTAACAAATTTTTCATTCGACAAATATTTTTGGACAACAAAAAAGGAACAAAATTTCATTAATCAGTCTAGTACAAAATCCTTTGAACAAATTTATTCGAATTATTGTTCATTCATTATAGAAATTATAATACGTGATATTTAATTCATGTTCGAATTATTTTAAAATGCATAATTATTATTTCACGTATATGTGATCATTTATTTCGATATTTTTCGGTCAATCGGAACAAAAAAAAACAAATTATTAGAAAATTTCACAAATTAAAATTCAACGACAATAAAAAAAAATATGATCGATGATTTTATGCAATATTTTGCACAACAGTTCGTTACAAAACGAAATATAAAAAAAAAAGAGGGAAATAAAAAGAAGAGTTTAGAAAAGAACGTACGTTCGGAACACGATGGTGGTAGTGATGGTGGTGGTGGTGATGGTGATACTCGGGATAAAATAAAGCGAGTTAGGCGAAAGGTCGAAGTTTCTCTCTCTCTCGGTCGCTTGACCTCGGCCGGTAATAAGAATAAATGTGATTCTATTACGGGTTCAATTGTTACGGCGGCGGATATAGGCCGATTTCGATGGAGGACGACGAGGGACTGATCATCCGCACCGATAACGTAAAAACACCCTCCTCAGACGTTTTTACCTGCCACCTTTTTTCCCTTCAGACTCTTTTTTTTTTTTTCTCAACTCCCCAAAAATGTCGTCTTGTGCTGACAAAACTTTTGTTTCAACAAACAAACAAACAAAATACACACACGCACGCACGCACGCACACTAAAAACAAAATAAAAAAAAATAAACGAACAATAAATCTTACGAAGAAGGGGGAAAAAGAAAACAGAAAAAAAACAAAACAAAAAAACAATAGTTCACGTGTGTGTTATTGTATGCAATTGATGATGATCTAATTGAATTTGATTGGCAGAGAATTGATCGTTTACGAATCAGGATTCACAATGTACTCACCGTGCGTTGACGGAAGTGGGATTCCCGACGTCGTCCAGGGACGGTTTCCTAGAACGAAACCACGAATGAAATTCGTTATTGATCGTCTGCAATTGCATTGCTGCACGTTGTTGTTGTTGTTGTTGTTGTAGTAGTAGTAGTTGTTGTTGTTGTTCTTGTTGTTCTTGTTTATACGCGATGCACAAGTTCGTAGTTTGCCACGTTCCGCTAAATGTTTCTACGTCCATAATTAATTCTTAAAACCCCTGTCCCCGCCCCCTCCTTGTGCTCACACCCTCTCTATATTTATTTTTACAAATAATTTCTTAATAAAGAGAGAAAGAGATAAAAAGAAAATTAAGCAAAAATTAAATTAACAATCGGTCCACAATTCGCACAGAAATTCATTACGATACTTCCCCCCTCCTCCACCCCCTTAACTATCGGAACAAACAACACACACTCGTTCGATTGCATATTGCAATGAAGAAAAGAAAAGAAAAAGAAAAAGATAAGAAAAAGAAAAATAAAAAGAAACGATTAAAGGTTTTTTTTTCGAGAGAGAGAGAGAATTCTTCTTTGGGACTGTCAAAAACGGACTAGTAGCGCACACACTGGCATGTGCCGCGTAAGTGTCGTCATCGAAGCGAAGAAGAAGAAGAAGAAGGCGCGTGTCGGCCTCGTGCTCGGTTCGAACCTTCCCTTCCACCCTTTTGTGAATTGTTCCCCTTCCTCCTTCCTCCACCACCTTAGACCCCCCACTATCCGACGAATTGACGTTGCGCGCGCCCCTTTTCGAAACTCTGCCTGCCTCCTCTTACTATACTATCGTGTGTCGTCTGTCTGACTCGTGTTCAACCATAATCCCAACCCCTAACCACTTCGGGCAGGCGTTCGAAGCGACATATGTCGTAAGTTAAACGCGTGAGTATCATCGGAACTAAACTTAAAACAAGTGAATTAAGTCTACAAAATATAAAAAATGATACGAATCATATTTTAGGCTAGTTTTTACTTTAGAACGATATTATCGCTAGCTTACTTTATATTACTTCAAATCTAGAAGAACAAGAAGAAGAACGAGAAGAAGAAGGAAAAGAAGAAGGAGGTGGAAAAGAAGAAAAGGAGAAAAGCATTCAGTCTTCATTTAACTCCGAACGCGAGTCCCGCGACGGCAATAAAATTCCCTCTACCCACCAACACCACTAACACACCATCTCAAACATCAAGACCCAACAGGACCAACACCACCAACACTTCTATCAACGTATTATCTTGATCTGTTTATGTATACGCAACAGGACCCATGTCCCTGATTTTCTGAACTAACTCCAACACCCACCCGAGACCCCTAAAAACTCTAGGCTTGCTTGCTTGCTTGCTTGCTTGCTTGCTTGACTTTAGTCAAAGGGGATCATCGATTAAAACCCAATGGGATTATACCCTCTGATTTTGTAGTGGAAAAAGATCGAGTCTGTAGAAACTTGTTCGCTTGCTTTTACACTCGTTGTATTCCATTTTGTTGCTGAACTACTAAAGAGAGAGAGAGAAAGAGAGATTCATGTTAATCGATGGGAACCCATGTGACTAATGATTATCGATTACCAGTCTCGAACGTTAGAGGTAGAAGAATAAGAAGCATCGATGAGATTCATTAACTATGTCTTTGGTTAAACTTAATGAACGTTTATAAAATTTTATTTCCTTCAGGTGATTATTAAAAAGAGAAAGATTAACGAGACAACGAGAGAGATAGAAAATAGAGGAATAAAAAAAAAAAAACAAATGAAAGAGAAATAGAGAAAGAAAAAGATTTTTCCAACGAGAGAAAAAGTGAATCGTAGCCCGGTTACACGAGATCTTATATTACCTTAACAGGCAACTAGCCAGACCGGTAAGCATCTATGTGCCTACTCCTGATGCTCGCTCGTCTAAAGTCAAACTCACTCACTTGGTGGTGTATACTGCTTTTACAAACGATACTTCTTATGGTTGGCCAGCTATTACTATGACAGCACGATGACACTCATCGTCACTCGAGTGACTTCTCCTTCAATGCTTAACGTTATATCCTAAATAAATCGATACGACTGCGAACGAGATAAATCAAGTTTCCTAAATCATTTGGAATGTTGTATGGTGTTTTAACAGAATACCAAGTCAAATTCCGTATGGGAAACTACATCGTCTTATTACTATGACCAAAATTTCAAATCTTTAAATATAGAGAACAGTGTTAGCCTGATGTTTCTCGTTTTTTTTTTTTTCGGTTCCTTTTTTTTTTAATTTTTTTTTTTGGTATTTTACGTGTGAACTTTTGTAAGAGAGGTAACAAAAAGTTACAAAAGAGATGGTGGACCGTTTGAAAGAGGATCCTCCGATAGGGTTTGTTAAGAACCTTCTCTCTCTCTCTCTCCCTCTCATTCTCTCTTTCTCTTTTTCTTTTTCTTGAAGATGGAATCTCCGTGTCGGAAGGAACTTCGCGGTCGATTCGTTACGCGTTTTCAACACCTCGATAAACTTAACTGAACGAAGAAGATCGGTGAAATGGACAAAAGATCTCGGTAAACGAGTACACGAGTATATGTATTTCCACAATTACGTCATTCAACATATACACACACAGTCACACAGTCACACATAAATACGAATAAACGAAAGGAACATATTCTAACGCGACTCTAATAAATTCGACTCGAAAGGACAGTGACTTAGAACACCTATTCATCTTCGTATTCTAATGATCATTCTGAGAAACGGGAAGCTAATCCCGAACGAATAATTCTCCGCATGTTTTTTTCATAAATTTCAATAAAAAAAAAAAAAATTAATGTCCATCGTTAGCCGGCCGTTTAAAGAAACATTATTATTATTATTATTGAAGTGTTATACTTCTTTTGGCGCGTTTTGTTTGGGAAACAATTGATGAGAGTTAATTCTTACGATGCGCGCGCACAGCGACCGAAAAATCGACACCGCGAAGTTATCGGTATTTACGATGCGCGCGCGGGCAAAACCGATTTCAAATTTACGACTGTGAAGTCTTTTATTATTATTATTATTATTACTATTATTATTGGTAAACCATCTATCCTTTGGGTTAGTTTCAAACGAAATAATAAGAAACTACAAAAAATCCTGATCGAAGTTACGAATTGGTCTCGATTTAATAAGAAAAAGAATAATAAAAAGAAGAAGAAGAATTATCCGTCAACGAGAGAAGCAACGATGGAAGAAAATTTCCAAGAGTTCGTTCCAATAGCTACCACTCTCTCTCTCTCTCTCTCTCTCTCTCTCTCTTTCTCTCTTTCTTTCCCTATCTCTTTCTATATCTCTGTCTTTCTTCAAGGAGTGAACTGAAAGAACCGGAATGTAGATGGCAGAGAGTAAAGGGAGGCGGTTTGGCACATTTTTTGGATCGGGGAATGTCGGTGCAAGCTATTAGAGGGAGAGCAACCTTCTTACGTGGAATCGTTAACCTCGACGGTAGCCAGAGAGCGGTAAAAGATGTTGCGGACGAGGTCTGAATTAATGAATGAACGGATGTTAAGCTATCGGAACTCGATGCTTTTCCAAGATGAGGAGGAGAAATAGGTGGAGGAGGAGGAGGAGGAGGATGGTTAGAGATCGTCCAATGTACGCGAATAGAAGAAACGCAAGGTGCGGGGAGAACTTGCTGCGAAAATATCCATTAGGGATGGAACGGGGTAAAAGGGGTCCCATGGATAAGGAGGAGGAGGAAAGGGGGGGCGATAGAATTGGCTCCTTTTATGGACGTTAAACTCATTCCGCAGCTAGGAGGAGATCTTATTGGTGTACGGTAAGAGAATGGTAAACGTTTAGAGGTTGTGTGCTGTCTTTGGGATCGAACGTATTAGAGACCGATGAAAAGAGAAAGAAAAGAAAAGAGAAAGAAAAGAAAATAAAGGAAAGGATAGGATAGAGAAAGAGCTACCGGTGGTCATCGACGGGGGTTCCCATTCAACCGGTGGCTCGTCTCTCGCCCACTCATTCGTTCATTCATACGCGCTGCACGCGATTTGAATCGATAAGTAAAAGCTCGGTAGAGACAACCGCCTGAGGTGGATCACTCGAGAAAGATAAAAAGAAAGAAATAAAGAGAGAGAGAGAGAGGACGCGTGCTACGCGTCCCCTTCTTCTTTCTAGGAGGGGTTGGGGGGAGTGGGGTATCTTATTCGTGAGTTCTCTGAGCCAGGTGAACAACAACAAGCCTAGAGGATTGTTAAGATAAAGAAAGGTGCCGCGAGCTACGAAGAAGAAGAGAATTGGATGAACAAGGAGGAGAGCTCGCTCTAAGAAGAATTGAGAAGAGAGAGGGGAGTCGGAATATAAGGTAAAAGGAGAATAAGAAAGAACGACGACCGGCAAGGATAATCGGTAAGAAGAGTCCAAAAGAGAAACAGAGAGAGAGAGAAGTGGTAGAAGCCGGTCGTAGTCGTCGGCTGCCGGACAAGCGGACGGAAAAGACAGACAGGACTGGAGACCGCTCATTACGAGCGGCGCATGCGCGAGGAATGCACCGACTCTCTCTCTCTTTCTCTCTCTCTCTCTCTCTCTTTGATTCTTTTTTTTTTTGCTCTTCCTCTCTTTCTCTTGTTCTTTATTTCTTTCTTTCTCTTTCTCTTTCTACTCGATACAATAAATATAGGATCGGGATCGGCCCCCCCAGCCCTCCACCACCCCTCCTACCGCCCGTTCTTCGAGAGAGGGAGAAAAGACCCACAGCTGGAACGACTTCAAAGTAAGCCTGAACCGATGAACGAATCACGACCGACAACAATGCCCAACCGTAGTAACGACATCCAGTTAAATCCGAGGGCCCGCAAAAAATACGCGAGCGACCTTCTTTAAGAGTCAACTTCTCCTCCACCGTTCCCTTCCTTCCTTCCTTCCTTCCTTCCTCACTCTCTCTCTCTCTCTTTATCTGTTTTATTTTATTTTTTTCCATCCCTTTGGTATGAAACTACATCGATGTAATAACCACCTACCAGTCCCCCCCGATCGTTATGCACTTCGGGAAAGGTGATAACTATTAAAACGATTATTAATTATCTTTCCTCTTCTACCTTAGATCATTATTTAACCCCCTCTTTCAATCATTCCAATCGTTTCTTTTTATTTTTTTGTAATCTTCCTTCTTGAAACACTTGATCGATCAAATCAATCATATTATATATTCTATATATACTATTCATAATAAAAGTTTGGCGCGGTGACAGCACTAGTTCTTGCTTCGATCATTAAGTCAAGCAACGCTGAATAAGATTAGTACTTGGATGGGTGAACCGTATTTTTTAGGAATACCGTATGCCGTTCACGCCAAGATTTCAGCCTAGTTTTTAACATCTAGAGCTGGGTCCCAAGTCCAGATAAAAGAAGAGGATTCAGGGTGAGGCTAACTAGAAACCTACCCTCGAATAAAAAACAATAAATCAATCCTAGAAATAGCAATAAAAAAAAGCTATTGTAACAAGACAAAGTCCTTAAAAAATAAGGAAGGAGAAGAATGAAATCCAAAAGATAGTAGGATACCCTACTTTGTTTATACAAAAATCTGAAGAAGACAATTGAACAAAACCTCATCAAACCCCCTTGCTGTTCATCACTCTCTCTCTCTCTCTCTCTCATTCTCTTTCTTTCTATGTTTGCGTTTAGTCACGAATTCATAATGAAGTTTTGTGGATGAGTACCCCAATGAAATCCGAAAGAGATCTTCTCGGTGGTGGTTTTTTCTCGAACTTACTTTCATTTGATCACTATTTCTCTCTGGTACGGAAAGAAAGAGAGAGAGAGAGAGAGAGAGAGAGATAGAAATACTTGATTTATATCCGTAAAAAAGAAGTTCAGTCAGAGAAGAAGAGACTACTACTCTTCTGTTGCTTTTCGCTCATTGCTCGCCGCGAACGAGCGCGTCGCTGTACTCACTTTGAACAATGGAATTGCGTCGCAACGTCAATCTCCCTGTATCAATCACCTCACGAGCCCGTTGTGTGTGCTCTTTTATATCCCTACTAGCTGCTGTTGCAGTTGCAGTTGCAGTTGCTGAAGTTGCTGTTGCTGCCTTCCCTCGACTCCATTCCTTTTCGAGTTCTCTCTCTCTCTCTCTCTCTCTCTTTTTTTTTTCATCTCCTTCTATCGACGTGCGTGTCTCGGAATAAAACGAAATTCAGTCCATACGCTTTTACTCTCTCTTTCTCTCTTACTGTTACTCTAACTCTCACTCAGTTGACCGTTGCCACGTTTTCTGATACACATACATACACTCATACACAGAGAAACAAACCCTCCTTTCGTCACGAATATTTATCACGAAGCAATAAGAACGGATGATGATGATGATGATGATGATGATAATGATAATAAACTCGCACGCGAATTAAGAAAAGTGTTTTACGTGGGTTTAAGAAGAGGAAGAAGAAGAAGAAGAAGAAAAGGGAATGGAAAAAAAAAAAAGAAAAAAAGAATGGAGGAGCTAGACGTTGGCTGTTCGATCTACTTTCTTCCTAGTATTCCTTTTCTTTTTTTCTTTTGTTTTTTTGGGTTGGAAAGCATAACGAAAGGCGACCGTACCGGTGCTCTTACCTGTCAGTCCAACACAGCGCATCCTCTCGGTACCTGCAAATCAAAACAAAAGTTTCGATATTTAATTCCACGTCTCAATATGATTAGAGATTTTCATTAATTTATAATTGTTATATTAAGAAAAATTATGATTAACATTATTAGAAGGTCGTCTGGTATTATCCTCGACACCCCTGGACTCCCATTTCGATTCTACCTAGAAGTTAGCTTTGTAAAAAAAAGAAAAAAAAGGAAAGAGAATTCAGCACCTACCACCCACACCCCCGTAGAAAAAGAAAACTAAGCCGTGAGGCTAAAACGCGTGTCGCAGCTTACAGGAAAAAGCTTTTATATGAAAGTTCAGGCTATGAATAAGATCGCCGCCGTAAATCGTAAGCGAGAGGTAATCTCGCGGTTGAGTGGTGCCCTTCTTCTCCGCCCCAGCCCCCATAATCAAGTCCCCCCCCCTCCTTTTATTCTTTTTTACTTAGCCAGGAAAAAAAGGGAACACACTAGTGGAGGCAGGCAAAGGGCAAATTGTTGCCGCTATCGTTCGAAACTACACAATTCCCAATCGTTAAAAATCAAACTAGATGATAGATGATAGATAAAAATTCCGGGGATGCGCGTACGATAATCATCTGAGAAAAAAAAAAGAAAGAAAAAACCACAGCTAGCTGTTTAAATTGAATTTAGAAAGGAAAGATCGAAAAGATGAATGATAGAAACCAAAAGTAGAAGGAAGGAAGGAAGGAAAGAGAGTTAGGGTTGGTTCTAAAGAAAAAAAGATGAATCAGAAGGTGCGAATGGAAGGGCGTTATTCTCGTACGAGAAACTGTCAACGAGACATGATTTAAAGCCAAATATTACGACAAAGAGAACATTCCAGAACGGTATATATATCCCCGGGTTCTTCTTCGACATCGGGTAACTCCCCTCTCATCTTTCGAGTTCTCGACTAAACTCGTGGAGATATGTCGGGCAGACTTTATTACCAGAAACCAACCCCTGGAACATTGATTTAATGCGGGAGTAATTGGGCGACCGGACGTCTCTATGACCGACGTCTCTACCACCTTTTACCGTTAATGTCCTTTAGCCCTTCCACGAGCTTCCTTACTACTAACCACCATGCAAGCAAGTCTTCTCTCCCCCGCACAACCCCCTTAACGCACACCACCCAACTCTAACATCCCAACAAACGAACGTGAGAAAGCCGAACGGTTGCTTTATTGCACCCTTTATTGCTTTCCCGACTTTTACCTTAGGTTAGGGATAGGGGTAGGGGATTGGTGAGAAGGGGCTGATGTTAGAAATGATCATTCTTTTTCTCTCTATGCGAATTATCGCGCTTATTAAACTTCCAACATTCCATCAGAGTTATCGAACACCTTCTCTCTTTCTCTTTCTTTCACTTCTTCTTCGTGAGTATTTTTAGGAAGGTAGGTAGGAAACAACGCGGAAGGAATGATCCACTTTCGAAGTTGGGTGTTGCCCTCGCGTGCAGTAAATTAGAGGCCTTTAAAACGGGAGAAAAATCAACAGAACGAATTTGCACTTAATACCTTATCATTTTTCAACGAGATACCTAAGAACAGAAACTCGATAGAGAATAGTTCTTTTTTTGGAAAGTGGGAAGTTAGACCCGGCGTCATGTGCCTTTAAAGTCTTCATGGGTATGGTGGGGAGGGGGATGGGGATGAGAATAGGAATAAGAGGGATGGGGTAAGGGGTGTTGGGAGGACCACAAACGTGGCCTCTACAAGCAGTCATAATACGCGATCACCGAGGGCAACTTCAAATCACACACATGGCGCGATCACGTTCTTCGACTCTGATCTTCCACACCCCTTTTCAACCCCCCCAACCTCTCCTACACACTGTCTCTCTGTCTCTCACACTCTCTGTTCTCATCCATGATGCCGTGTAAACTTTAACTTTGGATACACCGGGTGCAGGAAATGTCGTCTATCCCGTCGTCTACGGACTGTTTCTCTCGATCGGGGGGATGGGATGGAGTGAAGTGGAGTGTGGGGGGTAGGGTAGACTACTACGTGTATACCGAACAGGAGAATGAGAAGGGTGAGTTAGGTAACGTAATGACTAAGCGATGTGTCGGCATAACAACAAGTGCCGCTTACAGCCTCCCGTGAAAATGTAGAAAACAACCTAAAAAAAAACACCACCCAGCCTAGTGACTTATGTCCCTTTTCACACCACCCTCTTTTTGTTCCCATTTCATTCTTTATTGAAAATTCGCGAACTAACGGAAAGTTCTTAATAATACGATAAAGAGGGGAGAGAATGAAATTGAAACGGAGATTCCGTATTAGTACTCGATGTCTTATTGTTGTTGATCAAATGAATTGAACGACAGTAAAATCTGCAGTAACAACAGAAGAAGAAAAAGAAATATTGAGAATGGAAAAAAGGTTTAGCCCTTTCTCCGGGTCAGTGCACCTTCTTCTTCTTCTTCTTCTTCTTCTTCTTCTTTTCCTTCTTCTTCTTCTTCTTCTTCTTAAGCTTTGGCCGTTTTGGTATAGGCAGCTATATGCAGTCACCTTTCATGCCGCACGATTCGATTCTCCCGCGTTCCAATGGAGACGGGGAAAGAGATAGAATAAGAAAGAAAAAGAGAGAAAGAGAGAGAGAGACATAGCTGGCGCATTATCACATACGTTAACTTTTTCTACCTCTATTGGCCCGGAGCGAGAGACCGAAAAACGACTGATTAATCGAACCAACACGGGGAACATTCTTGCCTCGGTGGTATAACACAAGGGGAACCAGTAGCACGTATAACAATCTTTCTTTCTCTCTCGCTCACTCACTCACTCTTTCGTTCTTTCTTGCTTTCTCTCCTTCCCTTTTCCTTATTTCTTTCTTTCTTTCCTGAATGTTCCTTCGAACTGAGCACCACACACCACACACCACAGCATACTACACCGCACCACACCCTGCTACCGCATTCGCGCGGATGTCGGGAGAAGAGACACGAGCCGAGTTGAGAAAAAGTTTGCTGCCAATACCATCGGGCAAGAGACCGCGAGTTATCCACCCGATACGAGGAGTTCGGTTCGACGAAAACCGGAATGCGTTTCTTAACCCAACGGACCCGAGATATGTTCTGAAGTTACAATTAACGCTGTACAATAGCTCGACGTGCCGTTGTTGCGCGGGAGGAGGAGGAGGAGGAGGAGAAGGGTGGTGGTGGTACAGAATCAAGAGGAACAGGAGGAGGAGGAGGAAGAAGAAAAAGGGTGTAAAAAAAGCTTCCACGAACGTTCGTTCTCTCGTTGATCCCTATTAGGGAACTATCGTTACTTCTTTTACCCCGTTCGAACCGATCACCCGAACAACCCACCCCACCCCCACTTCGACCACTCCTTTCCTTTCTTCTTTTTCTTTTTCTTTTTGTTTTTCCCTACGCGTCAACAGGATAATCGTACCGACAAGGATCGTTACGAAATCGAATGATCTACTCGATCCGGATCGATGCTTTCTCGCAAAGACATAACAACGAACAGTTTTGTGTGTAGTTTTCTTTTTTTGCCACTGTTTTTTGTATTTTTAATGAAAACTTTTTTGCTTCTACATTTAGGATATTTTATATTAGACGTATGTAATATATAGAAAAGAGGTTACGGATAAATTTTGGAATTCGTTTGAACGTCTTAGGAAGAAAAGCAATCCGTGTCTCCATTAAGATTTAATTATATACGTGACGTAGGTGTTATTCGATTAACGTCACGCACATGACCTTTCTTCGTTCATTCTTTCTTTCTTTTTCTTTTTCTTTCTCTCTTACTCTCGATCGTGAGATTTCTTCTCGTGGACTTTAGTGAATTCTTCCGTGTAACATACATACATACATCTATATTTCTATATAAGCAGAGAACATACATGAACGGTTAGAACGCGATTTACCATCTTTAATAACTTCCCTTGGATCCGTCCTAATTAACTTAATAACCATCCTCGGAGATTTCGTCGCGGTGAAGCCGAGTCGAAGTCATTATTAAAACGTCTCAGCGTGTTTTGCAGATAAAAAGGACGATAGGTTGGTTGGTTGGTTGGTTGGTTGGTTGGTTGGTTGGTTGATAGCTACTACGTACATACAATATATCCCAAGATAGAAATAAAAAATAAAAAAGAAGAATAATTTAGTTAAGAAACTACTCGTAGGTTATCGAGAACACATTTTAACAAAGTTACTCTAGAAAAATAATCCTTAGAAATTCGAAAGAAAACTGTGAACGATTTCGTTATTTCGAGTTTTACATCCTCTTAAAAAATAAAAGTCCTTTGAATAAAACTTTGAATTCACACGTGCAGTGTATTTAAAAAAAAAAAAAGGAATCCATGCAGTCCAATAGTAATGGTGATACTGTTGTCTTGTTGTTGTTATTGTTGTTGATGACGATGACGATGACGATGACTATGACGATGAAGATAGTAGTGGTAGTAGTTGGTAATAGGTGGTTGTAAGGAAAAACACGAGATTTCAATTAAAGAGACAAGCTTAGTAATGAGGCATCCTTCGATTTATTGGCTCGAGTAGGCCGGCGCCTAAATGTCTGCGTGCTACCTTATTCAGTTTCCACTGAGAAGAGGAGAAACTCTCTTTTTCTATCTCTATCTCATTCTCTCTCTCTCACAAAGTAAAACACGATGCAGAAACCTGGGGACTCTTTAAGCAAAAGTGAAGGGAACAGGGACAGGGGAGGGAGCCCTACTGCTTCTGCTAACTGCTACTGCTACTGCTACTGTTTGTGATGGTGATGGTGATGGTGGTGGTGATGGTGCCAGAAGGCAACTCTTGTCCTTCGTCCTGGCTAGCTGTCGTCGAATCCCGTCGAGCACGCGCGTGTTAATATATGGATTCTCCTTGTGCACGCGCGTGTGCCAACCTCCCCCACCCCCTCCTCCTAACACCCCTTTTCCTTCCTTCCTTCATTCCTTCTACCATTTATTTTCTTCTTACGATATGTCTCCTGCACTCAACTCGGATTCTAATTTGCATCGAAGAATCCAAGCCACCGTTTAATGCACCC